CGCACCTGTCACCCCGCATCAATACCCCGTGGTTCAAGCTGCTTTACTGCACGCCAATGCTGTTCCCCATTTATTTCCGGGCAGTAGCCGAAACCTTCAAAGACTATCCAGAGCATCTGTGCCGCCAGATTAAACGAGAACGCATATGGGAATCGTCCTGCACCTGGGGATTCTGGCGTGGTTCTGGACGATGGATCCGTGGTTTGCTTTCAAAGCGCATCTTTTTCCAGTATTTTTTATTTTTCCCATTGCTTTTACGGTCAACCGTTTGGGACAGCACTATGTGATAAACCCGGATGAAATTGCCAATTGGACGACGCTAATGCGAGCCAATTGGATGTGGAATTTTCTCTATCTGTTTTCGACGTATCACCTGGAACACCACTATTTCCCGGGTGTGCCGTTTTACAACCTGCGGAAATTGCAAAAGGAACTGGCACCTTTTTTTCAACGAAAACAGATGGTGTTTTTTACATACAGTCGGGTGCTCTATCTCTGGTTTATCAAAAACCACGCACCCCATACGCAGTCAGATATCATGATATAAAACAAGAGGAGCCATGAAGACGCTTCTGCTTTTTGTGCCCTCTGCTGTGGCGATAGCCACGTTGATGTGGCACGCCTGGTCCTATCGGGGCCGTCGCATTGCACTGAGTTTTTTTATCTCGGCATTTCTGTTTGGCGTCGTGCGCGGAAATGTGATTCACTGGATCACGGTCGAATCGCAGGGAGGCGTGATGCCTTATGTATTCACGCAGCCAGTAGTGCAGATTTTTTCAGCGTCTTTACAAGCGGTAATCGGATGGATTTTTGCCCTCTATGTGAGCTGGTGGCTGGCCGAGCGGGTGCTGGCGCGGATACCCGCGCTTAAAGGCGATTTGATGGCCACAGTGGGAATGGCATGCGTGGGGATGGCGGCAGTTGGATATGGGGTGGAAGGCGGAGCAGCGGCAGCGGGCTGGTGGGTGTGGAGCATACCGACGTACAATCGTTTCTTTGTAGGTGTGCCAACTGTGGGGATAGCGGAATGGTTTGCGGTGGGGTTCGAGTTTTTTATCCCCTATTTTCTGGCATTCTGTACGCCCTATCGGCGCAGAGTCTGGGCGCACGCGCTGTGGGGCGTATTTCTTTTTCACATGTTTTTACACCTGTTTTCCGAGCCGATTTCTCCGGCAATCCCCACCCAGCCATTTGTACTGTGGCACTGGATAAGCATCCTGACTCTGGGCGCACTGGCATTGACCAGTGCAGGCTCGACAACTGTGGAAACAGCCGAAAGCAAGCACGGGTCGCGGCACGAATTGATGTGGGTGTGTATAGGGCTGTTCACAGCGGTGATGATCGTGGCGCAGATGGGCATTGGCAGGCGACCAGACATGCTAATTTCGCTAATCCCGCTGTGCCTACTGTGTCTGATGGCATTGCCAAAAGTATCAATGCCCTGGATTCTCGCCTCTGCGGTTATTGCCTGGGCGGCCGAGGGATTTGGTACAGGTTTTGTCGCAGCACCAGTAGCCGCAGTCTTATTCCTGCAAGGACGCGCACAGTGGGGCGGGAAGCGACTCTTCCGCGTCGGCGTAGTCGCATTATTTGTGGGCATCGGATTGGGCGTTTATCGCTCGGGAGTGGTGTTGAGCCGACAGTGCGAGGCTTACATGCTACATCTGGAACGGGCGGCGCGCCATGCGGGAAACGATCGGATGGACCTGGCCGCCCGAGAGCAAGCAGTAGCCGACGCGCTGGCTCCTGGGGATGTAGAGGCGTATTTGCAAATCGGATATGCACTGGACCGACGGGGATTCCTCGGCCTCGCCATTGCCCAATTTCGAAAAGCCCTCGAATTGGAGCCAACGCTTTTTACAGCGCATTTCGATCTGGGGATGGCCCTGGAGAGGTTCCGAGATATGGCGGGTGCGGAAGCGGCATTTCGCCGCTCAATCGAACTTGCCCCCCGGTTCTACGATGGACATGTGCAACTGGGAACGCTATTTCTCAATCAGGGCCGCGCAGACTCGGCACAGGTATATTTCGAACGAGCGATTCAAATTGACTCGACCCATCCGGATGCGCGGCGGGGTCTGCAGAGGATTCGGGATATTGAGGCGAGATAAATCAATTCTTAATCACAAAAATATCATCCGCCACCAGAAAGGGTTCGCCCTGACCTATAATGGGTGCCGAGATAACAGTGCGATCGCCAGTATTGATATCCACGCGGTAGATAACGGTGCGATCTGCCACCAGGAGTTGATCGAGAGTATTAAAAGCGAGGCCAGAAGGAATATCAGGCGTTTCGCCATCGCCCATAAAAGGGCTTGAAATAACAGTGCGGTTTCCACTGAAGGGATCGATTTGAATAACAGCGGCCTGGCCAATATCGGTGACAAAGATTGTGTTCAAGCTGTTTAGAACAATGCCTTCCGGGTTTATCAGTCCGGGTCCTTCACCCATTTCTGGGCCAGAGATGACCGTGCGGTCGCCACTATTGGGATCAATGCGAAAAACCTGCCCATTGCCCTCTGAGCCGACCACCACCAGGAGATTGCCATCGGAATCCAGAGCAAATTGCTTGATGGTGCCAGTAAAGGGCGGTCCTTCGCCTCGGCCAGGACCAGAGACAACGGTGCGGTCGCCACTGTTGGGATTAACGCGAAAGATAGTGGCAGATGGCTGATCGCCAACCAGGAGGTACCCAGATATTTCTTGCACCAGGCCGACCGGTCCCAAAAACTCGGGACCTGAACCGATGACCGGGACATTCGGATCAGCGAGGCTACCGCCTGAAGATACGATAAAAAGTTCGCCGGTTTGAACGGCAAACCGCAGGACTATGGGCAAGCTGCTTTCAGAGAGGGTCATCAGAATATCGCCATTGGCGTCGCGAGCGATCTGCCGGGGAACACCGCCAATGTGGCTGGAGACAAGGGTGCGGTCTCCCGTGCTGGGATGGATGCGAAAAAGCGCGCGCTGGGCGACATCCGTAAGCAGAATATCGCCTTCGGAAAAAGTGGGAATTTCTTCGGGATCGAGACCCTTATCGGACGAACCACAGGCGACCGTGAAGCAGACCAACCAAACCTGTAAGAATCGATTCATAAACGCATTCCTCATCGGCAAATAGTGTGAATATTCAATGATACCGGATAAAACAATCGCTGTCAAGACGAGACAATACAGGAGACGAGACGTGATCATAAAAAGCGGATTGTGGTTGATTATTATGGGTTTGCTAACCACAGGCTGCGCTTCCAAAGCCGACGAATGGATACAGATTTTGGAGCATCCTAATCCTGCAGATCGCGCCCGCGCAGCAATGCAACTGGGGGAAATGGGCGACCGGCGTGCGGTTCCAGCCCTCATCCAAACACTGAAAGACCGGGAAATGCCCGTGCGATTGGCCGCGGTCGAAGCCCTGGGCAAATTGGGAGATCGGCAGGCAGTGGATTCGCTCATTGCGATTGTCCGCGATCCGAACGCCATGGTGGGCCTGAGCGCGGTCGAAGCCCTGGGCAGCATCGGAGGCGAAAAAGCCGTGGAAACCTTGCTCCGGATTGCTCAGGCGCGGGAAAGGCCCTTGAGCCTGGGAGCAATGCGAAGTCTGGGTACCGACGATCGGTCTGTACAGGTACTGACCACTGCACTATCCGACAGGGCGCGCGACGTGCGTTGGGTGGCAGCACTGACCCTCGCCCGTTTGAAGAATCGCCAGGCTCTCACCCCTCTGATTGGGGCACTTCCAAAGGCCGACAGAGAACTGCGCAGCGTCATGATGTGGGCATCAACACCATCGATCCATCGTGGCAAACTTCTGCACCTGCTGAAGAGGCGATCAATCGACTGATTGACGGATTGAAGATACCAAACCAATCGCGCTACCAGGCGGTTCAGGTGCTATCGGAAATGGATGCCGAGTGGAAAACGCGTGCGGGTGCTGGCGCGGCCATGGACTTTTTTGTCGCACAACTGGCGACAAGAGACCTGATGGCACGGATACAGGCTGTCGGAACTCTGGGGCAAATTGGAGACGCCCGGGTAGTACCATCCCTGCTTGTGGCACTAAAAGATCCAAACAGACAAGTGCAGTATGTCGCTATAAAAGCCCTGGGCGAACTGCGCGATGCGCGAGCCGTTGAACCACTGGTAGAAGCCCTCGAACATCAAGACCCAGGCATGGTTTCAGCCGCTGCACTGGCTCTGGGTGAACTGCGCGATACACGCGCGGTTGAACCGCTCATGACCATCCTGGCCCATGCAGAGCACGGCGTATTTCGCATGGGAACAATACAAACTCTGGGTGTGCTGAAGGACCCCCGTGCAATAGCTTTGCTAACTGAGCAATTAGACGATTCATCGGTACAGGTTCGGCGCATTGCGACCGAGGCTTTGGGAGAGATTGGAGACCGCGGTGCCATCGCTCCCCTGCTGAAAATGCTGAATGATCAGTCAGCCGAAGTGCGCTGGGCAGCGGCCGATGCCCTGGGACCAATCGGCGATGCGTCTGTGGCAGATTCTCTCATCTCGATTATCGGAAAGGGGCGAATATGGGCGCGGCGAATGGTACGGGTGCTGGACCGCCTGGATGCCAACTGGCGGGAACGAGAAGCGACTCTGCAGATAGAAACCTATTTTCTGGAACATATCGACCATCCCGAGCCAGAAGTTAAATGGCGCTCTGCCGAAGCTCTGGGAGAGATTGCCACGCCAGGGGCGAGCCAGAAACTCCTGCAAGCCATGGAACAGAAACGCACCCTGATTATAGCAGCCGCGCACGCCTTCTTCATCCGAAACGGGATGTCCGAATCAGAACCCCTGCTCGTCCAAGCCCTGAATCAGTATGGCACCGAGGAAATGGCCCTGACATATCTGAACGCCGACCACCCCGTGCTGGCCAAAGCCGCCCACAATTGGGCGCGCAGGCAGGGGATGATATTGCTATCTTCTCCCGAACCGGGTAATATTCGATGGAATAGCAGTTAAAAAACAATATCAAGGAGGGCATAATGGGTAGTATTTACGCAATAGCCACAATGGATACCAAAGGTGAAGAAATCGGATATGTCGCCGAATGCATCCGAAAAGCGGGCGCAGAGGTAACAGTCGTGGATGTAGGCACACAGAGCGACGCGCAGGACGCGCCAGATGTATCGCGGGAAACCGTAGCCGCCTGTCACGCAGGTGGAACAGGCGCCGTGCTTGGGCATACGGACCGGGGAGAAGCCGTAACAGCGATGGGAGAAGCATTGTGCGCCTACTTATTGCAAGAATATGCAGAGGGCAACGTAGCAGGTATTATTGGAATTGGGGGCAGCGGGGGCACGGCACTCATTACGCCAGCGATGCAGGCATTGCCCATTGGCGTGCCCAAGGTCATGGTATCAACAGTAGCCAGTGGCAATACCGAGCCTTATATGGGGTGTTGTGATATTGCGATGATGTATTCGGTAGTAGATGTAGCCGGGATCAACCGCGTATCGCGGCAAGTATTGGGCAATGCAGCGCATGCAATTGCGGGAATGGTCGTAAATACTGTTGCAGAGGCCGAGGACAAACCCACGCTTGGAATGACCATGTTTGGCGTGACAACGCCGTGCGTGACAATGGTGCGGGAAGCACTGGAGAAAGACGGATATGACTGCCTGGTATTTCACGCGACAGGGACGGGTGGACAGGCAATGGAAAAACTGGTCGAAAGCGGGATGATCGACGGTGTTCTGGATATTACCACAACCGAAGTGGCCGATGAAGTAGTGGGCGGCGTATTTCCCGCCGGACCCGAGCGAATGGATCGCATTCTCGCGCGTGAAATACCTTATGTCGTGAGCCTGGGCGCGCTCGACATGGTAAATTTTGGCGCAGTGGAAACCGTACCCGAACAATTTAAAAACCGCACGCTCCACGTACACAACGCACAGGTCACATTGATGCGGACAACAGCGGATGAAAACCGCCAGTTCGCCGAATGGATAGCGAACAAATTGAACCGATCAACAGCACCCATCCAAATTCTAATTCCGGAAAACGGCGTATCGTTAATCGATGATGATGGACAACCCTTTCACGATCCAGATGCAGATAAGGCATTATTTGAAACCCTGGAAGCGCGACTCGAACAAACGGAAAATCGACAAATCAAACGACTGGCGAATAATATCAACGATCCAGAATTTGCAGCAGCACTGGTGGCGAGTTTCAAGGAGATAAAATAAATAAAAGGAGACCAAAATGGCAGCAGAGAGCCGAACATCAATTTTAGAACGATTGAGAAAAAAAATCGCAGATGGACTGCCGCTTAATCGAATAAACCAAAAGAAAAGAGAGAACAAATCAAAGCCCAAACACAGCTAAGTAGAACGGCCTCGTAGGAGGTCGCACGATCGAATCGGCTTGAAAAAAAAATCCGGCACAAGATCTGCAAATCAATCGAAACCGCGGGAATACACATAGGCAGAAAAGGGCGATTGACAAAACTCCAAGAAAAAGGAAAGACCAAACTGCAGGGAGTCGTAACGCTCGGGGAAGCGGGCCAAAATTACCGCCCATCAGAACACCTTGACCAGAAGGACGGCCAAAACCTGAGACAATAGACGTTTCAGAAATTCACACGGAAGGAAGAAGGCGAGAACGACAGAAGCTTTCCAAAATCAAGAAGAGGGGAAGACGCAAGCCGGCTTTTAAACCACGCTACGAAGGGCACAGTAACCGGACCCAAGACACCGAAGGTCGAGTGAACCACAGGGTTTGCAGTTCCAGAGTAAAAGAAGCGCCACAACAACAAAACCACCCAAATTGCCCCCGGTCACGGGGCAAGCGTGCGCCACACCGTTACGCCCCCTCACAGCCCGAACTGACGCAACTAAAAAAATTAAAAAAAAGCGAGTCAACTATCCAGGAGAAACGAAGAAAAACAACGTCTCAATCCACAAATTTCCAAGAAAGATTCGGGTGGCTGCACTTGATTTCGGCGAAATGCAATAAGCAGCTTGCGATTGTGAAACTACATTGTTAATTTACAATTCGGGACGCTATCCCCCGTAGGCCCCAAGAAAATGGCAGAAGGACGGGGATCCTCTCCAACGGGAAGTTTGCTGGCCTATGGCAATGCCAACGAGATAGTAAAAGAAATGGCTTACAAGTCACACAGACAGTAAACACACAACACCCAGTCCACTCGCCGGAGTAGAAAAGGAAACCATTCATGTTGCGGGATCACTTTTTGCAAGAACTGAGAGACCTGGGCTTTGCGGGAATCCAAAATTTTCCAACAGTGGGACTCATTGACGGATTATTTCGCGCCAATCTGGAAGAAACCGGAATGGGCTACCACCTCGAAGTGGAAATGATCGCAGCCGCCCATGGGATGGACATGCTGACAACACCCTATGCATTCAATGTCGAAGAAGGACAACTCATGACAGAGGCAGGTGCCGATATTGTTGTGGCGCACATGGGATTGACAACCAAGGGCACAATTGGCGCGCACACGGCAAAAACACTCGATGACTGTGTGGAAGAAGTAAAGGCGATTTGCAATGCCTGCAAGTCAATCCGAGGCGATGTGATCACGCTTTGTCACGGCGGACCAATTGCCGAACCAGACGACGCCTCTTATATCCTTGAACGGGTCCCCGAAGTCGATGGATTCTACGGCGCCAGTTCAATGGAACGCCTGCCCACAGAAGTGGCGATGTACAGAGCAGATCAAACGCTTTACCGCAATCCGCAGGTGAGTTAAACACATGATGTCTTTACCGCTAAGTGAGGAAATTCAAAAATATACAGTTCCCTGGCTACAACTGGATTGGCCGATAGATTGGCCGCAGATTTTTGATCGGTCAGGCGATCTCGTGCTCGAAATCGGATTTGGCAATGGGCATTTTCTATGCGATATGGCAGCGTCGCGTCCCGATGCGTGTTTTGTCGGGATCGAACGCGCCTGGGGATCCATGCGCCGATTGTTTAAACGATTAAATGCTCTAAACTTAAATCATGTGCGCGCAATAGAGGGCGATGCCGCATTTTTATTACAACACGTATTTGCCCCGCAATCCCTATCGGAGATATGGATCAATTTTTCAGATCCATGGCCCAAAGAGCGACACCACAATCGGCGTCTGATCCAAGATGCGTTTATAAAAATATTGGCCGAACGATTAAAACCGGGCGGCGAAGTAACCATAGCGACTGATCACGCAGATTACGCAACGTGGATCACCAACGTGCTGTCGCGACAATCGCACTTGCAATCCATTTACGAAACCCCGTCTGTTCACCAATTGCCAGGACGCACCCCAACCAAATACGAACAAAAGGCAATAGATGCGGGCGTGCCCATTCACTATTTTTTCTGGCGTCGAGAATCAGAACTATCAGTCGAAACTCGCATTCAAAAGGTCGGGAATATGCCAAATGTCGTTTTAGAGGGCGAATACCAACGCGAAGAAATTCTGAGGCTTATCGGGCATGTCACAGATCAAGTGTGGCACGAAACACATCGGGATATGCAGGTCGTGATCAAAATGACAGACATCTACTGCCAAATGCCCAACAATCACGGCCTCATCTCAGTTATGGTGCGCGAAGGCGAACTCGTCCAGTATTTCGGCATTTCCATCTTATTTCGCAAGAACAATCAGCTATTGATCAAACTGGCACCAATTGGCCAGCCGCGCTCCACCTGGGGAGTAAAAAAAGCGGTTCAAAAGGTGACAGATTTGATTTTGGAAACACACCCCAACTTGTGGCTCGCATCGAGTACGGTGGGTCTGTGAGGAGAATAGCGCAGAAATGCAAACATCAAAACTTGGGATCAGCACGGATATGAAGACATTATGTTTGAGATGACAGGTGTTTCGAAAGCGTTTGGCGATTTGCATGCGCTGTGCGAGGTTGACCTGAGAGTGCATCCTGAGCAGACGACGGTGTTGATTGGGCCGAGTGGGTGTGGCAAGTCAACCTTGATTCGGTTGATGGTGGGGCTGGTCTGGCCCGATGAGGGCACGGTGACTTATGAAGGACAAGTTCTGACGCCAGCAAATGTGTTGTCGCTGCGGCAGAAGAG